GGACTACATGCTAGTGAGATCCTTCAGCCTGCTCCATGAGGGTTGGCAACAACAAAGTACATTTGAAGCGTTTCAACAACAACATACACAGCATGATGAACAAGCAAGAGGAGCTAGACATCTTGGCTCAGTCCCAGAGCTACATCATTGGCATATGCAAGAACTGGTGGAAGAGTCCTGTGACTGATGTGTTACAGGGATGGTTACAGGCTCTTCAGAAAGCATGAACAGAGCAGGCATGGCAGGCGGGTGGCACTGTAATGCAGGGGCTGGACTGTATGGAGCTTGCAGCTCTCATTAACACGGTTGAGAGCCTCAGAGTAAGGATTAAGGAAAAAGCAAAAAAAGCAGATGTCATTGCTGGAGTCTACCATAGGCCACCCAGCCAGGATGACAACATCAATAAATTATTTTTTAAAGGAATTAAGAGAGACCTTTTGATCAGAAGCCTTTGTCCTTATGGGTGACATCAAAACTGAGAATACTGCATAGCTGGTACAAAAAGATCCAGGAGATTCCTAAAACACTTTGACTGTAACTTCTTAGTACAGGTACTAAGGAAGTCAACTAGAAAAGGTGCCCTCCTAGATTTGTTTGTAAAGAGGGAGGGTCTCAGGGGTGAAGTGATTGGTGGCTGTCTTGGCCACAGCGACCATGAAGTTGTAGAGCTGAAAATCCTTGGTGATGGGAGGAAAACTGCCACCAAAACTTCAGCCCTGCATATGGAGAGAACAAACTTTAGGCTGATCAGGGAAATAGTTGGTAAGGTCCCCTGGGAACTACTTCTGAAGGACCATCAGTGCTGGTCGTTTTTAAGTACCACCCTTTAAGAGCACAGGAACAGGCAATCCAAAAATTGCAAAAGTCAAGCAAGCAGGTGGTCAGCTTGGCTGAGCAGGGATCTTCTGGAGCTTATAGGGAAAAAGGAAGTGTCCACTGGAAGCAAGGTCAGGCAACATGGGAGGACTACAGAGGCGCTGTTTGTCAGTGTAGGGAGAAAATTTGTGTAACCAAAGCTCAATTAGAATTAAGAGTGGCCAGTACTGTGAGGGGCAGTAAAAAGGGCTTTTTAAAGTATGTTAAAAGCAAAAGGAGGTCCATTAGTTGATGAGGATGGTTACCTCACAAATAGGCAGATAGACAAAGCAAAGACTCTTAATGCTTTTTAAGAGTCTTCAACACCACCTGTCTTCAACATCAGTGATGGGCTCTGAAATCCCTGGGGCCCTGAGATAGAAGACCATGACTGTGCTAATAATAAATTCCCAACCCATCCCAAACTTGCACAATATTTGCTGCTCTACCTGCACTGTGGCTTGTCAATTTTCAATTTGGGCACATATAATAGATCATACTGTTAGAGAGTTCCAAAGAAGGCTACAAAGATGGTGAAGGGTCTAGAGGCAAGACAGTGAGGAGGGCTGAGGCCCTTGGTTTGTTCAGCCCAGAGCAGAGAGGCTTGGGGGGCCTCATGGCAGCCTGCAGCTCCCTCACAAGGGGAGTGGAGGGGCAGGTGCTGAGCTCTGCTCTCTGGAGGACAGCAACAGGACCCAGGGAAGGCATGGACTGGACAGGGGAGGATCAGGCTGGGTGTGTAGGAAAAGGTTCTTCTAATAAAAAAAAAAAAAAAGTAAGAGCATGGAGCAAGACTTCTTGGAAATAATTTCTGAGTACATGAAGGAAAAGGTGGTGACTGGTAAGTACAGGCATGGATTTTAAATCAGCTTGCTCCCAGTTATAAAATTACTGGTTTTACAAACAAGGTAAATGCCATTCATCCTTCTTCCTTTGCCTAGAGGAAGGCTTTCACTGTCAGACAGTACTGCCATATGCGACTTTGGATATTGCAGACTGAATAGATAGACAAGTTTGGAAGATGTAGTCTGTTCATTCAGACTTTGAGTGAAAAATAGACTGAGAGCAGTAGTTAACACATTCTGTGGAACACCATAGGGGGCTAACCCAGAACCTGCTTTTTTATTTAAAAATATATGTACTTATATTTGTCAGTGGCCTAGAGGTGGTGATAAACTATACGCTCATCAAGTTTGCAGATGACACCAAATTGGGTGGAACAGTCAACATGCTTGAGGGAAGAGCTGCCATGCAGATATACCTAGGTAGACTGGAAGAAAGGGGTGACAGGAACCATACAAAATACAAAACAGGAAATACAAAGTCATATAAAGGGATAAGTCCTTGCAATGATACTGGCTGAGCAGCAGCTCCGTGGAAAAGAAGTTGGGAGTCTTGGTGCATGTTCAGCAAGCTAAACAAGCCAGGAGTGTGCCTTGGCAGCAAAGAAGGCCAACAGTATCCTTGGCTGCATCAACAGTAGCGTAGCCAGTAGTCTGAAGAATGTGATTATCCTTCTCTAATCAGCACTTATTGGACTGAATTTAGAATACTGCATCCAATTTTTGGCCCCCCAGTCCAGGAAAGACATTGATAAACTGGAGTAAATTCAGCAGAGAGCTGCCAAGATGGTCAGGGAGACATGCCCTATGAAGAGAAGCTAAGGGAACAGCTTGTTCAGTCTGGAGAAGAAAATGGCTTCAGGGGAATCTACTAATAGCCTTCTGATACCTACAAGAAAGTAATCAAGAAGATGAAGCCAGGCTCTTCATGTTGGCTGTTAGCAGACAGAAAGAGAGAACAGGCACAAACTGAAACCAGACAGGTCCCAACTGGTTTCAGGGAAGAAAAAAGTCACCATGAGGACACTCAAGTAGTGGAACAGGTTGCCAAGAAAGATGCTGCTGTGTCTGTCCTTGGACGTTTTCAAAGCCTGACTGGATAACGCCTTGATTATCCTAGGCTGACCTCATAATTGACTCTGCTTTGAGCAGGATGTTGGATCAAAAACTTCCTGATGTTCCTTCCAACCTGAATTATTTTACAATCTTAAGTTTAAAGAGTCTTATAGACACTGCTTTGCACATGCTTACAGTTTTCCAGCAACTTTAGAACACAAAACTCTAGGGCTGTGTGAATACTAACCAATTAATCCAAACATTCAGAACAAGATCAAATCAAGTCTCATATGCTTTCTATCCTAAAATACTACTGTACCTACAGCTACAATCACAGTTTCACAAAAGCAACTTGAGTAATAGCATTTTCCCTACTACCAGACAGCTCAATGCACTAATTCACAAGCATAGTCAAGTCAAATTGTATAACTTCTAAAATCGACTGTAGAAGACTATTTTTGGGCCTGAACCGAAGACCCTCTCCAAAGCATCACGCTCACTCAAAGGTGTTGAAATGGAACACTTAATACAGCTGTTAGGCTTAAACTACTAGTACTGTGAGCTGTGCAATAGTGTCACCTAGTGGCCAGTACTCTTACAACGAAATCAGGGCCCGATTCAAGAAGAAAACTACTGCCTGTCTACCAACTTTGCTACTCTTTGTAAGAATACTATATATATATATATATATATATATAGACACATGCATACGAAGCAAAAATCACAGCAACAAATAAGACTAAACTGAGTCATGGAAAAGCATAAGTCACACACAGCTTTTATGAACTTAAAATGTCATTCCAGAAATAGAAAAAGTTCTTTCGGGAAGCAAGAAGCATTTTGGTCTAAAAAGAAAAGGAATGATGGATGAGTACTGCAGTCTTTTGTTTATACCATCATAAATGAGGCTCAAGATCACCAGGTGTAAAATCATCTACTTCAATTCCAAACACAACATTGATACATTTCTTGTCAAGAGACAAGAACAAGTAAATGGGGATCTTGCATAATATACTTTGTGAGCGTTGCCCAAGTCTATGTACAGCATTTATAAATAGTTTTAGGGTTACAAGTATTAGAGCACCCCCAAACTTGAAGAACTGTTCATGCTACTGATTTTTGAAGTATTTGTAATTTCTTCTGATCTTGCACAACTGGAGAATGAGGAGAGGCAAACTTCAACTATTTCAACATTCCAGAGACTTATAAGAATGCTTGTTCTCTTGTTCTGCTCATTGCACACTCCTCAAAACTACTGAAATTCGTTGAATCTTTGCATTTCTGTGGCTATCAGGTCTGCTTAAACTTTGTGCCACACTTGAATCAAATAAGTTTCATGAGATTTCCACTATCCTACAGCTTTCATCTCATCTACTGTTCACTTTCTTTCTTAGATGAAAGACTTGAGCGTGAGAACATTTGTTATTCTCCATAGATTAGCAGACAATTGGTTGCACCATATCTATTACATTCAAAATATTCTTAAGCACATCCCATCAATGTCCAACACTCTCAACTAAATTTCTAGGTTTTAAAAGAAAGAACATGACTCAAGCAGATGAAGAAAGTCTTTTTGACAGATTGTGTTCCACAATCAACTCAGCATTTATTTGGCTACTCTGTATTTTACAGAAGTTCAAGTTTCATAGGGTTTCCACTTTAACAAGCTCAAACAGTGAAGTAACAGACTTCAAATTATTAAGTAAACAGCCAAAAATACTGCATGTTTCTTGTAGCATAGAAAATACCAAGACCTAATTTTGTAGCTTGGCTAACATTTACAGCAAAGAAATAGCAATGTCACAGACAGATTGCCCAGTTTGCTCTCAAATTTCTGAGCTGGCTTCTAAAGACTAAGCAACTAAAAATTTTGCACTGTTGCTTTTTTTCTCTGCTCTTCAGACTGCAGTAGTAACAGAAGTAGAGAAACTTCTTTTGCAGAAGTACTTCTAGAATTCATAACACCTGTAAAAAAATCACAGACAGGACATGCAGGCTGTCCCCACTCACATGGCTTACTGAAAACTTAAGGAAAATTGAGTGGTTTCTTTTTGTTCACCAACGTTGCAATCCTTACGGTTTTTGAGGACTGCAGCAGACTAATGAAGATTCTTCTGAAGACAGCCAACCAAGTGGTACATTTCTATAACCACTTAGCTACTACATAAATATAGAAACAAATAAACACAATAGTAGTATTTTACATCTTGTGGTTATAAACCCCATAAAGAGTACAAGAACAAAAAATACATAGTACAGCCTGCTTTTATTCTTGGTCAGTGACACAAACAATGACACCTACACATATACATGCAATCTACTGAACATGATAGAATTTTCTATTTACAGAACTTATATCCTAAAGTGAAAGATATTGTCATACCACCTATATGGAATGAAAATAGGAACTAGAATGATGAAGAAAAGGACAGCAGGGACAGCAACAGGGATTAGAAAATAATTACTAAGCTCTAGAGAATTCTTCCAGTTACACTGCAATTTTTCCAGCTACTTTGATTTTTCTTACATGCTTTAAACAGATGGGTAATTAATGCAATGTAGCATTTTATGTTACACCTTGCTGAGTCACACAAACCTGCAAAAGTGGTCTTTCCACCCTAAAAGATAAGTCCGTACATAAATGTTTCTCCTTTTTTCATTTTTATGAATGTATAGTGCCAGACATGATTTAAATGTAGAAAAAAGCATACATTGGAAGTTGACTCGGAAGTTTTCTTTAACAATCACCACAGACAGCATGCCTCAGGCATTCAAGATGTTCAAATGAAAGAAACAAGTAGCAGCATTAAAAATTAAAACAAAAACTGAAAAAAAAAGAAATTACAAAGATACTTCCAACATCAGTGGAATCTGAATGGTAATAATGTCTATGGTTTGCTTACAACATTGTTTTCATGGCTGCATGGATTAGACTCAATTTAACCAAAAAAATTTCCTTAGCACATAAGTATTACAGGTAGTTGGCTAAAATTCTGTTTAGAAAAATTACTGATTATAAATGAAAGAGTTGCTAACTTGTATAATACTTAAACTGTTCTTTTTTTTTTTTTGGTTTTTGTCCTAAAGCCAGCACTTACCAATTCAAATTACGTCATACTACCACCTACCACTTGTATGTCATTAATCTCACATTTATAATCCTGCCCAAGAAGACTAGCATCAGGTCTTCAGAAACATGCAAAACCAGTAACTTTACAAGCCTCCCTAAGAAACAGTTCTTACATTTGGCATATGTAGTTAAAAATAAGAGAACAGAACGGCTAAATAACCAATATTATTTATCGGTTCTTATTACCAAAGAAAGGAGTAGCAATGAAGAATCCTTTATACGAGAATAAATACAGTGAGTTAAAATTGAAGTAATAAATGAGTAAGAAAAAGCAAAACAGTATGTATTCATCAGACCCACAAGACTTAATTTTTCTAATTCAATTATGATTAGGGAACTATTCAAATACATATATGTGAAGGTAAAAATTTAATACAAGGAACACCCTCAAAATCTAAAACCTTCCCCACTTGCTTTTCAAAATTAAACTTTCTTTTTAGAAAAACTTTTAAAGTTTAGACACTTACTCTGAAATAAGTAAATGATTAGATCTTTCAATCTCCCCCCCCCGGCCCAAGACACACACAAGAAAAATAAAAGGTGCTCAACAAGACAAAGACAACAAATTCTATTACCTTGGATCCAAGATTTCACCAAGAATTTCTTCCAGCTTGTCAATAAAGTTAACAAAGTTTGAAAGTCCCTTTACATGGGCTCTTAAGGGATCAAATAATGAAGCTGCACAGCCTTTTCCTCCAAGTTCTACAGTTCGGATAAAAGATGTTGCCATCTATTAGGAGAAACATTTGGGAATACAAAATGTAGGCATATCCAAAAATGCATGTATGTTGAAGTGATTATCTCCTACAGATTTGCAAGCAGTGTATACAGCTGGATAATAGCAGAAATAAACCAAAATCAATAGAATGAATTTTAATAGCAAGCTTTTGACATCTCATTATACATATTTGCAAGATCAACGCTTAAATAGTGCAGCAGTATAAAAATCCACAAGCCAAACAAAAGTGACCCAACTAATTTGATATTTTTTTTTGACAGCTTGGTAAGAGCTTTATTAATAGAGTATATATTTTTTGTCGTTGCTCTCTAAATGCTTGTGCTGACATCAAAAAAATACTCAAACATTCAGAGCCTTGTCTATGGCCTAAAAGCCTATGAACATTTAGATAAGCATGTAAAAATTGATTCCAGTAGCATATATATTTTCAGAGGTACAAATAAAAACTATGAATGCTCAAAGCTGAAAAAATGTGACCATTAAAAGGTCATCAGATACTCAACTCTGAAAGTTTCCATATATCTAGCATACAATAGAGACATTGAAAATAAGAGATGGCCTCAAAGCAGTACACTTTTGATCATGACCCCTCAAATTTTAATGCAATGATCAAAACAAACAGCTTAGCATTTCTCCATTAGATAAGAAACCAATTACAACTGATTGATGACATAATACTGATTCTACATATTAATTTCAGACTATACAGCTAAATCATAAAGCTCTTGGGACTGTAACAAATACAGCTGGAATTATTCTAGCAAAGAAAGTAAACCTGCCACTATTCCTGCTTTTGCACTAAAGACTTCTTGTGGATAAAGTATGGTTCATAGGACCTTGCTTTCCCAATGGAAAATATTCTGGCTTTGCAGGACTTCTACAAGACATAGATGCCAGAAAAGACAACTTCTTTATACAGTAGAGAAGTTTCCCCTCTGGCAAGTATGAGGAAGAGGCAACAAATCCAGTCCAAACAACTTTTTAATATACAATTTTAATGGAGCATTAGGAGCTAAGATAATTAATCCTGGAACTGAGATTTCAGAAGTTTTCCACATTTTTCAACCATAAAATCTGAGACTGCAGCTGCTTCAGTGACTGTTACATACCCATACTGTTTTTCCTCTGTCTACTGTTGTCTGCACTGTGTATGCAAAATTTGATTATTTTAACTAAGAGGTACCACAGTGGTTCTTTGGAGAAAGAATTCTTACTTCTTATTGGAACTATTTTTGAGATGGCTCTATAGTGGCTATAACTATTCTAAGTATAAATTCACCTCACATGCTCTGAGTACTGTGATTGATGCTATAGCTTTTTATGTTCTTATGCAAGGGAGCATACCTCTTTTTCCTCTAGCTCTGTGCCTTTGAGAATAACATAGGCAGGAATATCCCATATCAATCATATCTTGGAGAATATTTCAGGACTGATCAAGCTATAGACAACTGACAAGCATTACCCTCCAAAAATTCTGCCAAAGCTGAAGAAGCTGCAATACAGCTACTCCAAATTTTGGAGTCTGTTCTCATGTACTTGTCAAAGGCAGGATTTTTATCATTAGATTGGTCTACAAAAGGGATTTTGTGCAAAAGAAATACTTTAAAACTTGAGTTAAACTGAATCTAAAAGTGCACAAAAGTGGTTTTTTTTTAAAAAAAAAAAAAAACATTTAGCCAAAGTACCTTCAACATTTAAAACAAAAAAGGTAAAACGCATTGTAATGCACTGTTAATGGATTCTTTTTGTTAACAGTCCTGATTCCTGTTTTTGAAATGCCACACTTTAGTGCTCTAGAGGTACACATGCACACATTTTTCTGTGTCTTTATATCTCACAATCAAGCGAGCATCCATTTCTTCAGGCTGTATCTGTCACTTTTTTTGTTGTTTGTTTTAAACCTAGAAACTATATTTAGGTGGTATTCAACTTGGCTTGCAAGTGTCAGTCTTGTGTATGAAACTAAAGCAACATTTCATGTTTACAGAACTATTCCATTATCTCTGATCTACAGCAAGTTTCATTGGACACACATACCAGGAAAATGGACATTTTTCTCTCCTGTGAGGCATGTTTTAGTTTAGTAAAGGCTTCTCTACTGAGTCCTCTGTCAGGAACATTTAGAATATGAGCCAATGCCAGATCATCCTTAGAATTCACCAACAGGCTTAAATATGAATAAACACACTTCTTTGCCAAGAACATCACCTGTATAAGAAAGCATCAACATTAACTGGTCATCTTACTGCTAAATTACATGCTATTTTTTAAAATCTAATTACATATGTACTAATAAGACTCTGGAAAAGTAAGAATCTTACCTTACATAATTTCAAAATATTACTTCATGTATGGCAATTATGGAAGCACTGACAAAGGCAAGCATGATTAATATGTTAAAATTAGAATCACAAAATATCTAAAGTTGAAAGGACCCACAAGAATCATTGAGTCCAAATCCTGGCTCCATATAGGACCACCCAAAACTCAGACCCTGTGTCTGAGTGTTGTACAAATGCTTCTTGAATTCCAGCAGGTTCAATGCTGTAACCACTGCCCTGGGGAGCCTGTCCCAGTGCCCGACCACCCTGTGGGTGCAGAACCTTACTATGCAGCTCCTAACACCCAGCCTCATCCTCCCCTGTCCCAGCTCCCTCAGGTCCTGTCGCTGTCTCCAGAGAGCAGAGCTCAGCACCTGCCCCTCCACCCCCCTTGTGAGGGAGCTGCAGGCTGCCATGAGGCAACCCCCAAAGCCTGCTCTGGGCTGAACAAACCAAGGGACCTCAGCCGCTCCTTACCTGTCTTGCCCTCTAGACCTTTCCCCATGTTTGTAGCCTTCCTTTGGAGGCTCTATAGTAGTTTTGTGTGTCTTATACTATGGTGCCCAAAACTGCAAGCAGTACGTGACATACCACTACATATACTGTACTTGAGTATTCACAAAATATTTGAGAACTGTATCTCCAGTTATTAAAGTTGGCTTTCTATTTCTATTTAGCAATCTCTCCACAAACATCCCTTTTACATCCCAAGCCAAACTAGTAACACCATTAAACCACAATGATTTTACATTAACTTCAAATAAGCTAGACTTTCAACACCTCACCAGCTCCAGCTCAGATGCACTAATTTTTCCCTTGGTTAGTTCCCTGGGATTTAAATAACAGATTGAAGTTTTCAAGTTTATATTAAATTACAACCCAGCTCTACCCTTATATCCAAAAATATAACATTATAATTACTTATATTGCAGTTCAGGATCCTATAAGAACAAAATTCTCAGAATTTAAGAATTTATAGTTTTGCCATAAGCAAAGAAAGCAAAGACAAGAAAAGGCCATTAACAGAAAGAAAGATATAAGCCTTTTGTAGCTGTGGAATTTCTTATTCAACAGGAAATAGGATGAATACAAGCAGTCAAAAATAAGGGGCCAAGAATATTTTTTATTATACATGTCACAGCCAGAGCACCAAGCGAGCCTATTTGTAGAAGTGCTATCTAGGGCATAAACTTAGTAACAAAGAGAAAAGCACCTAAGTGCATTTAACTGAAACACTGTTATCCTGATATCAGATTGCTGGGAAGATGCTTGCTCACTTGTTGGGAACTATTTTGAGTTGCACCCAAATATTGTATTGAAATTGACACTTAATGAGGAAAGCAAGCTTGGAAATCACTGAAGCTTCACTATTTCAAACACTTATACTGATACTGTTTAGGTGGTTGAATCCAGTATCCCCACAAAGTTGTCTACTGCAACAGATCAGTATTGTCTGCATTTCTACAGCTACCACTATAGTTGGTGCTCAGATTTCTTCTGAAAGTAAATAAGTATTACTTAAGGTGAAAAGTTAAACCTAAATTTATCTCTTACCATTTCACTTTGCAGCATCAGGCAAATTCTTTAACTCACATCCAAGACAATGTTTGAATGATAATATACTTGCAAAAAATATGTATTCCCTATTGTTTAAAGGCAGATAAGATCTATGTCAAGTGCCCGCCATAAAAGGACTGTCTTCCAGGGAATAAATTTGTGTACTTGCCCCATGCACACACTCATACCAAAGAGATACAGAGCTTGAATATACTTTAAAAAAACACAACAATATCTTAATAGAAATAACTGGAAAAGGAAACTTGTATTCCATCTTCCATTAAATTTTCCTTACCTAAAAAGCACTAAAAAAAAAGATTTTATAGACACATTTATTTATTTATTACCTTCGCATTGCTCTGGTCCTGTCTGTTGACTGGTGTGGGAGTAGAAGGAACACAGCCACTATTTTCTGGTACATTCATTATGCCAGAAATAAATTCCATCAGTTGAACCTTTAATAAGAATAATTGCATAAATTTAAATACAAAGATGACTGTAACATAAAAGTAGTAATAACACCAAGTAAAACTATGATTTTCTCCAGCTTGCTAATGTTTTGAACACCAAAAGCTACTTTTTGTTTAGTCTTTAGAAATACAACTGTTCTAAGAGAGAAATAACATGTAAGATTCAAATTAACTCAGGAGAACTTTTACAGTTACTGCCCTAAAAGCAGCTATTTAAAAAAAAAAGTTAGCACTATGCCATAATTATAAAGAACTCATTAACCCCCCAAAGTTTTCTACCTTTCCCATGAAAGTAGCAAAAAATAAAAGAAAAGCAATTACAGCTTCCTAAACTTTAGTCCTCCTTTATTTCTTTTGAAGAACTGTTTGAGTGCAGATTCTCTAAACTTAAGTAGGCAAGTTTGTTACAAGCATGCTTGTCATAGACTCATACAACAATTTAGGTTAGAAGTGGTCTTTTGAGATCACCTAGTACAGTTACTTGCTTGAAGCAAGACAAGTTAGACCAGGTTGCTCAGTGATGACTTGACTTTGGAGATATTAAACTTGGCTCGGCAAGATTCCACATCTTCTCCAGGCAACCTGTTCCGGTATTTGACTACTTTTTCATGGACACAGCTTTATCCCCAACTCAGGAGGAAGAGTTATTCCAAGCAATTGAAATATCCTGTCCTTTATTGACTAATTTTTCCTCTAATAATGCCTGTTACCTTCCGGCAAGCAGACAGCTAACTCCTCTCTGTAATTTTTGTTACAAGCTAGAAATAGGTGCAGCTAAATCCAATGTTTATTAATTTTTCATTATAAGTTTCCTTTGTCTTTTAATCTTCCCATGCTCAAGAGAGCACAGAATCAAATAAAATCATGTGGCATGCTTATATTTTAAACTTATTTTAATTGCTACTAACACACAACCATCAGACCCAGCAACATGGGTTCAGGGAAGTCCATCTCACTAATTTGATATCCTTCTATGGTAAGATCACACTCTTAGTGGAGGAAGGGAAGGCAGTGGATGTAGTTTTTCTGGATTTTCACATGGTTTTTGATTTTGTCCCTCATGGTCCTTCTAGACAAATTGCCTAACTGTGAGAAAAACTGACTCACAGTATGACATTTGGACTCAATTTTCGCAGGTCCCTTCCAACTGTATCCATCTTATTCTGATCTTTGTTATCAGATCAAAATATATAACCAAAGTTTCGTTATTTTTATAGTCAGGCTGCAATATGTACTACAACTTCTCTAGCCTGCAGCATGGCCTCATGTGCGGTGTTATAACATCTGAAGCACAATAAACTGCAACAGATGCTTGACTGAGTAGCTGAAGTGGAACCTCTTGCAGTCTCTGGAAAAAATCTAACATGAAGATACATGAAGAATATGGAGTTTTTTTGCCTTTAAGAGCAAGGTATTTTTTAAATGAAAAGCAAAAATATTTGGACTGCCTAGCAACATGTATCATGGAGTTTTGGATATACTAATCACTAAGCTTTGATCCATCTACATCAAATCTCTAAATTCAGTTTTCAGTTCCATTAGTGAGAAAGAACAATATACTCAGTGGAGCTGTGATCAACCCATCCAGCAAAAAAGCAGAAATATGCAATTTTTGAATGGATCTAAGATCTCTTAAAGATTTAATAATTTAAAGTCATCTGTTCCTCCAGAGAAAAGGAAAGTCATTTGTGAATAATCCAAGACTTCCACGTATATTTTAGAAGCGCTGTAAATCCATAACTGGAATCAGAAATATGGTAAAACAGAGATCAAACAAACGAAATACTTACAGGGGCTATGCTTTCCTCTTCAGATACAAGTGCAAGAGCATAGGACTTCTGACATATATCTATGATATCTAACATATTGCTGCTTGCTAAGAAGGCATCATAAGCTTTTTTAATGTCAGCATAATTTTCTGGTTCTTCCATGTTTTCATGTGATAATCCTAGTTTGTCATGTAACAAGTATTTCCAAGTTTCCATCACATCATTAAGTAATACCGTGAAATCTCCATGGTGCTAATAGGACAGAAAAAACAATGTTTTATGTTCAGCATAGCTTTAAAAGTTACTTTAAAACAAGATATATATATGTATCTTAAAGAAAAAAATATAAACTAAATATTTGCATTTGTAACAAAGTATTACTTATAATTGACGTTATTCCAGTGCTTTGGTCTTAGAGCTAACTTTTTGTAATAAAGTCCTTTATCCTGATCTTTAAAATGCCAGGCATGTATTTTGAACTTTACTCATAAGAAAATAAATTGATTTTCACAGGACTACTGCATAAATATAGTTAATTATTTGCAGAAATAGTGTTCATCACAGCAGGCATTTACCTTCCAAAAACAGTAAATAATATTAACATGCTTCAAGTAGTGATCTGGGAAAACATATGCCATCTCCCAACAAAAATGGACGTTTTTCCCCCTCCCATGTTAATAGTTTACTATAATGTTGATAGCATTGCTACACAGATCTAACAAATGCATTAAAGCAACACGCCTAATTATATCCATATATCCCTTACTAGTATCATAAATAACAAACATATAACACTATCTTACACCCAGATTTGGGCCCACACTCCCTTACAGAATGATTAGATTACATTCCCATGCACCCATCTGTCTCCTTCCCTTTAGCCCTTACCGCCCCCCCCAAATGAAAGAGAATTATAACTTGACAAATAGAAGATTTAATAGCAATTAATAGAGTTAAAGTGCAAATAAAGTATGCAAAAAATGACAAAATGTGGGTAGCACAATAACCACCAGCATGTTTTCAGCAACTGAAGAATCTTTCCCTATTCTAGGCAAAAAATAAAATTCATGTGTATCCAAGTAATGTAAGAGGCTGGTTTCACAGCCGCAGTCCCTTTCCTACTCTCAAGAGAAGAGCACTCCGTTGACCTTTGATAGACAGAAACAGAAAATACATCAAGAGGAGGGACTAAAATCACATTTTATTTATCTATCAGTTACCCCCCCAAAGGATTTACATCAGAATAAGGTCATCTGCTATAAATGCATTTATATATAGGGGTGCGTGAAATAATGATCCCTAAGCACTTCTGAGATGTGCAAATGCTGAACTGTAAAGCAATAGCTTGCAGCTTTATTATGCAGAAACCAAAAGGGAAAATATAGAAAATGCTTTTTATTACGTCTTTACATGGAAGAACAGAAGAGACTAAAAATAAAAGACTAAACATAGCATTATGGACTACATACAATCTTATAAGTAAGTAGGAAAACTAAAGGACCAAAGCTGTTAGCAAAGGTGCCATCATCGGGAGGTTACAAGAACAGCAGGGCACAAGTGAAAAGCAAAAAAGGTAAAAGTCACTGAAGGCACGAACAAATAGGGATGGAATTCACAGTTTTAAATCAAAAAGAGTAAGTGACACACCCATCTTATTTGAGTAAAACTGAATGATGTTTTAACTGGATTGCAGCCTACAACCTTCATCGTCAGCAAGATGGGGGAGCTTAGGCAAGCTGCACTTGGGTACGTAGTATGTAACACTACTTAGAAGATCTCTTATTTAAAGGAGATGAGTATTACCAGTGGTTAAAGAGTGCAATAATGAGAAAGCCTTAAAATAAGTTCAATTCCTTTACGCAAAACTACATTCACAAAGAATTACAGTCAGAACCTGACTGTAAGTTAAAATACATAGCAAAGGCTTCTGCTACTCAACTGCGGGCCCCCCATGACAAGAAGGGCATAGACCTATTAGAATGAGTCCAGATTGTCCACAAAGACAATCAAGGGGTTGGAGCACCTCACCTACAAAGACAGGCTGTGGGAGTTGAGACTGTTGAGAAGAGAAGGCTCCAGAGACCTTAAGGGGTCCTACAGCAAAGCTGGGGAGGGACTCTATCAGGGAATGTAGGGATAATACAATAATACAAGGGGGAATAGCTTTACACCAAAAGAGGGTCGATTTAGATTAGACCTTAGGAAGACATTCTTTGCTGTGAGGGTGGTGAGGCACTGGAACAGGCTGTCCAGAGAAGCTGTGGATGCCCCATCCCTGTAAGTGTTCAAGGCTGGGTTGGATGGGGCTTTGGACAACTGGGCTGGTGGGAGACATCTCTGCCTAGCTGCCAGGGGAAGTTGGAAATAAATGGCCTATAAGGTCCCTTCCAACCTAAACCATTCTATGATATGAACTCTTTCCACTTCAGCCCCTCCAAGAATTAAATATATAATATTATAAACACAACTCAAAGAGATCAGCAGTTGGTCAGAGGAAAAAAAAGTCATTTTAGCTTGGTACTTGTGGAAGAATTTGTTTCAAAACAAAGTAGAACTTCAATATAGTATCTACTAAACCAAAGCTATTCCTTGCAAGACAAAGGACATGCAGAGATTAGCAAAGTTAAATTTCAAATATTTTTGCAGCTCTAATATAAGTAAAATTGCACTCCAGATATTAACTTTCATGAGTTTCAGGTGCTCACTGTGGCAGTGTATTCTATTACTTACACAGTCAATTGTCGCAAGTCTGATGTTAAATGAAAAAATAAGTGCGTGATGGTTTCCAACAAGCATATGCCAGCTGACTAATGTCTAAAGGAAGTTCAAAAAGTTCTGGACTTTCATTCCATGATAGACATTGCAAGGATTGTGTTTCATGGGCATAGAAAAAAGATGTTATAAAGCATCTTCACTTCCTTTGCTTCTTGATAATTTAGCACATTAAATCTCCTTGGATTCTCATTTTAGCATGTTTGAAATCCAGTAGCAACATTTCATGCCTAAATACACCTTTTTAGTATTTTCTAGGTATTGCGAACTTTCTAGGGCTAATTACATAGCAAAGCAGTTTCTATTTTGTCATAGAGTTGTTAAGAAAAACACAAACACGATGCATCTTCCAGCAATATTATGGTTTCTACTACCTTCCCTAAATAAATGGCCACTAACCGCTTTTGAAATATGTGCTTTCAAGATTGCTATGTTTAACCACCATCCCAGTGTTGTCTCTAATTCTAGTTTGTCAGGCATACTCCTAGATTGCAGTATTGCTGTCTGGTACTCTTCCTGATTTGTGAGATTCTGCAATCTTGCAGTCTCCAACCCTACACTGAGCTTTTAGTGCTTGCATGTGCTCTCTTCTAAGAGGGAGGCTCCCAAACTGTGGCCTATAAAGCACATTAAGCAATATAAAGCAACACTTTAAATCGGTTTCCTATTCCAGGAAGTGTTGATAGGGCTGCATGCAGATTTAGAAACCCATCCATGTAAGAGCAAATACAGAGACATAAGCATCTGATAGCTGTGACATTGAAGTCTGGCAGAAGCAAAGGCAATGAACTTTCAGGCCAAGATCCCAGACTTAGAAAAGCCCATGTAACTTGCAGAGCTAATCATTTGGAACTGCACAATGTTTTAGAGGGTAGTCCTCAGTACAAGAGGCACACTGACATACTGAAGAGACCCCAGTGAAGAGCCACAAAGATGATCAAGGCACCCCTCCTCTGAAGAGGGGCTGAGAGAGCCAGGGCTGCTCAGCCCTGAGAGAAGGCTCAGCAGGGAATGCATCAATGAGTACAGACAGCTGAGCAGAGGGTGCGAGGACGGGAGCCAGGCTCCTTGCAGTAGTGCCCCACTAACATGAGAAGATATAACAGGCACAAACACAGGAGGGTCCATCTGATCATCAGTAAAGTCTTTACTGTGAGGGTCACCGAGCTCTGGCACAGGTTGCCTATAAAGGCTATGAAATCTCCCTCCTTGAGACTCAAAAGGTGTCTGGACCAGTCCTAGGAAAGTTTCTAGGTGGCCCTGCTTTTATCTAGGGAGGTCTACAGGTACAAACATAACCAACAAGACAATTACTCTCAATTGAACTTCACCTTGAAATTTTACTTCTATTTCAAACCACAGGAAAGGTGGTTCTTTTTGAAAGTTTACCTAAGTTTTTTGTTTGTTTTTTTTTTTTAAGCATTTACCTAGATTGATTAGTAACTTTCACTACATGCTATATGCCACCAGTGGCTTTATGTCTTATAGCTACAACAGAAGATACATTCAGAGGAACTCTAATAACATATTTTTCCCCTTTCATCACAACTATTCAGTTAACTTCTCATGCTGTTTGCTACCATTATACTTGGTGAAATTTAAGTCTAAAAGTATGAGACTTAAATGTTTCTGGAGTTTTCCAAAGAACTGTAACAAGACACACTGTTCAGCTGGGTAGGGAGCAATCTCTTCTTCATCCCTTGATGTATCTTATACACATGCAAGGAACACTGTACACTTCCTAGAAGTACAGGGTACACACTCACAGCTCAGATGCATAGGACTTCAGCTGAGGAGCCTTAGGAAGAACAGCAGCCAAGAATGCAATGTTGCAAGCAACTTGTGCAGCCTTTACCCAATCCATCTTACACTCATTCTTCTCATGTCATTCCAAAGCATTTCCAGAGCCCTCAGCACAAAGATAAAAGGAGAACCTTGAGCTGAGCAGTGGGCCAAATGAATTGTCTTGATAGGATAAGAACATCCCAAATGCTACAGTTATCTCACTCTGCTCTACAGAGAATGAGATTCCTACACTCAGAAATAAACTGAAGTTACACAACCAAACAAAATACACTAGTATTTAAAGCTGAAGACTCAGATACATACTTAAAACACTTCTACCCTCTCATCTGTCTTGGTGTTCTTTTTCTAAGCCCTAATTTGACAAAGTGCTTAATCATTACTTTTAGAGCATCTCATGGCATCAAACATTCAGATGAAACACTGAATAGACCAAAACAGTTGTTTCAAATAGTTGCCCAAACAAAAAGTCCAGTAAGTGAACCCGGTTTAAGATGCACTAAGTACTGTGAGAAACAAAGTTGTGTTTTTGCAATGAAAGTTGTTTTTGCAGTGGAAAATCCACTAACCTTGAATATTCAAAAGTGATTGTGCAGGCATGACAGCAGCATAGCAGTGGGGAGTATGTTAAGCAGATAAGGGGAAGGTCCCACTGTCCCAAAATAATTAAGATAGCTAAGAAAGCCAGGATGAGCAGTACAAAATCCGTAAAAAGAAAAATCACAGGCCCTCTAGTCACAAGGAAAAAGGAAAAGTAGAAATTAACAGTTGCTCAAATAAAATTGTACATATATGGTGTAGAAAGAAGCGCATCGAATAGTGTGTGAACCTGTAGTACTCAGCCAATGAGGGAACGGGAGAAATCAGGTGTCGAGTAATAGGGAATATAAGGTTATGATGATCTTCTACTGTGAGCTCCTGCTTGAAGGACACTCACCACTGCGACTAAAATAGCTTCACAGAAGACCCTGTCTGAGAAACTTGAGATTTTTCACAAAGTACCAAGAATGTTCTGAAAGAATGCTGACCTGTTTATTGACTTCAGCCATTGACAGTTGTAACGCCGTCAGCATGCAATCTGCTCCACATACAGTAGTTCTTTCTGAGTTTGAAAATAAGTGCCATTGTCTTCTGAAACGTTTGATCAAGTTTAAAATCTTTTGCTGGAAATCAACCATTGTCTAGAGTAGAACACAACATTAAGAGAAATAAATGGGAAAAATAAGTGAGAGGCCCACACACACGTTTTCACCTTCCATTAAGCTACACATCTGCTGTTGTTTATTTTTTCACATCAAATCCAGAGAATAAGTTCTTTCCATTAAACACATAGCGCATTAAGACTCACCTCACTAATGACAGAGCAACAATGAAGAGGCAGGGTAAAAAGTGCTTATGCACGATGTCTTCACAAAGACCCCTTGCTCTCCTTGTATATTTTACTAACTTGAAAGAATGAAAGTTATTACAGAGGACACTCTTGTCTCAGCAAGGACCCAATCTGATACCCTAAAGTGTATCTTCAGTACTACCTGCTTTCACTGCTTGTCCAGTCCATATCTACTAAAAGAGTTTAGAACTGGAAAGTTTTATTCACTATTGTTTCCAATTTATTAATAAAGACATCCAATTTTGTTGTTGTTGTTACCTATGCACAAAGCCTTTTTTCCTTTCCTCCCATAAGTCATCATTCTCCCTATTTCCTTTGGAAATGAGTTTCAACATCAGTTTTGTATTTGACTACTTCGTGCTTTGGTCTTTCACCTTCTTGCATTTACTACGCCAAAAGTACCTGAGACTCAAACAGCCTTCTCTAAACCCACTAATTTCTGAAACACAATTCCCTAACGCTGCATACAGTACACAATGAAGACCCCTGTCTTTTACTTTCAGACCACAAACCCAACTTTTCCCCTTATTTCATTTTGTTAACGCGTAGATCACTGCACTTATTTATTGGTAATTAGTATGATCAGGAACAGGAGAGGGGCAGGGAAAACAAAGCAACATCTTGCAACAAGCAAGACAAAGCAACAACTTATTTACCAAGATGTTTGCAGGGGAAGAGTTAGAATCACAGTATGGTTTGGGTTGGAAGGGACCTTAAAGACCATCAGTTTCCAGCCATGGCAAGCCATGTGCAAGGATGCCTCCCACCATACCAGGTTGCCCAGGGCCCCATCCAGCCCGGCCTTGGGCACCTACAGGGATGGGGCATCCACAGCTTCTCTGGACAACCTGTGCCAGCACTTCACCACTGTCTAAGCAAAGAATTTCTTCCCAATATCTAATGTAAAGCCACAAGTTTTATTTACATTATTAAAATTTTAAGCTATTTAAGTTTTTAATTATTCCTCCTTGTCTTATCATTACACTCCTTGATGAAGAGTCCCTCTTTATCTTTCTTGCAGGCCCCCTCCAAGTATGTTAATTTGCTTTACTTTATCCCATTTACTTTGACATGAACAAAAACCAGGAGTCATAGCAAACAAAACCGTTGGATAGGTACAAATCAGCCCAGGCCAGGCATAACAAACTCTTGATAAGGGGTTTCTGCCCCCTCACCCTCCTCAGTGAGGGAGGCTTCTGAGGAACAATACAAGCCACTGGGAGCCAGCACCCACCCTAACAACCCCAAAATAGCCCGCAGGACAAGCCCTGAACCTTATACCCGGTATTGCCACAACCGCCAGGGACCCACCCCAAGCTCCGAGGGTCCCCCCCACTCAGCTCCCCGGGCACAACGCGAGGCCCCAGCGGGCTGAGGCTGCCCCCGCTCACCCACCTCCAGCCCTCAGGGGGCCGGGGCTGCCAGCATAGGCTCCGGTGCGAGGCGGCTGTCGGCCCTTTCCGCCGATTTTAATTTAAATCCTGCGCTGCCGCCCAATTAGCGAGCGCTGCCCCGGAAGCATAGGAGGTGGCCCGGGGCTGGGAGGCGCTGCCGGGAGCCGCGGCCGTGCAGGGCCGGAGAGGTGCGTGGAGAGGGCAGGGGGGAGCCGCAGAGGGCTCGGGGCTTCCCCCCAGACCCGAGCAGGAACGGGGGTTGGGCCCTTGCTGGGGCTGCACGGTGTGGGGTGGGCTCCTTTGGGGCAGCCGCTGGGCCCCCAAGGGGAAGGGAGGGAGCGAGAAGGTGAAGGATGTGAGGAGGGGGCTGAGCCGCACCGCCCGGTTGTCCCCATGGTGCTGCCCCAAGGCATGGGGTCTGCCCTGGTGGGGAGCCTTCGAGGTGGCTAGGAGTTGTGTTTGGCCTTAGGAGCGTGGCGATGCGAGTTATGTGGCTAAGATACTTCTGTCAACGTGGTGGTTTGTTGTGTTGGTTAATAAGTACACGCTACAAACGTGGGGAGCCTCTTTGAGTCCCCGGTGATACCCCCATCAAACTGTGGTGGCTCCCAGGCATGATGTTCAGCCACGGTGCTGAGCCCTTCAGGTCATTAACGCAACAAAATATGATGAGGGTCTGAAGTTTAAAGCTATCTTTCCATGCTGCACGTGCAGAAAATTGTCATTTCTCAAAAGGTGTGCACTGATGTCAAATCTGGGATGATCCCAAAATCAGTTGTGTATCTCAGCCTCCTATGTGCAAGCACAGGAGTCTGATTTTCTTGAAAAGTGCTTGAATAGAGTAAAGCATTAATGTTTAGGTATACTTTTGATCCAGTTGAAAATTAACTTTTTCTGTGCAAGTTCAGAGGCATAGAGGCACTGTCTGCAGTTGGGTTGGCTTATGGCATGAAACAAGTATTCTGCAGAATTGTGTTTGCATTTAGAGTTTGGTGGGTTTAATTCTGCTTTTAGTTAGATACCTATTGTCCTTTAAAGAGGTACACCAGGGAAGAGAATTTGATGGTAGTAATACATAATTTGTTGTCATTTGGTTGAAATTCTTAAAATTATGTGTGTGACTTTTCTGGTACATAGAGTTACTTAATCCCATGTCTTGATAGGTTGCCATCAGTAGCACAAAATCTGCAGTTGTTACTGATGTTTGTAGCTTAGTTAGTTAATCTCTTGATTGTTGGAATTACATGTTAAATCTGTATATAATGAGCTTAAATTGACCTTTTGTGTCCATAAATATGGTGTTACAAGAAATCTTGATTTGTTGCGCCACAAATACTTTTTTTTCTTTATGCAAATACATAATGCATGCTTTTTAATACTTTCCATATAGGAACATTGACCTTCATCCTGAAGAAGACATCGCTTCCACGATACTTTGACATAGTCCCCTGAAAATGAAGCAAGATTCTACTAGAAATGCTGCTTACACTGTGGACTGTGAAGATTATGTGCATGTGATAAAATTCAATCCATTTGATAGTGGAGATGCATGTTCCCTCATTGCGTATGGTGGCAATAACTATGTAGTTGTAGGGACATGTAGATTTCAGGTTAGTTTGTGTTTATTGCTTTCATTAGTTGCTTCATGAAACTGACAGCATGTCTTCTGACAAAGACTAAAGTCACTTTCCTGCTTCTTTCCTTCCCCATTTTGCCAGAAAGTGTTTTACTCCTTTATTACATTGATGACTTCGGGACATTTGGTCTTAAAGAGAAAAAAGTGTATACATAAATACATATTGGTATTAGCATCCTGCTGGTGTAAAGTTCTGTTTGAGTAGACTGCAATGAAAACAGGAGTGCTCTATTGGAAGAGTAATCCCAGTTCAGTATTTCTTGCAAATGTTTGTGACTACTACCTGGGAACTTAAGCAGGTAGCTTTAGAAATATGTAACTTAACATTTGCTGTATGGTGTTTTATTTTTTTAAGGCTTTCAGGTAGCTATCAAAGCAGCAAAGATTTCAAATACCCGGAATAGAAAGGAATAATTAAAATTTCCAAAGTAAGCTTAGAGACATTTCTTTCAAGGAAGGACAGTGGCAAATAATTACTTAATATACATCTGCTTTCTAGGTGTTTTTTTTTTTTTTTTTTTACATCTCTCTCACAGACTATTAGAAACAGTAAAATATGGTTTTTTTACCTTGACATTATTTCCAGTCATCATATCATGAAAGTTTTTGAAAAGTAAAATAGCATACTGTATATTTTTATACGTAATACTATTTTTTTTTTAACGAGGCATGTTTTGTTTTTGTTTTTGTTTTTTTTTCCCCTGGATGCTTGAAAATCAATAGTAGAACACTCTATCTTTGGAATCTATTTTTATTTTTTTTTCTTGAGCTCACTTCTCTGTTACATGGTACTGTTTTTATACTTTACTATCTAATATAGAAAACAGTATAACTGGTCTTTATTATTCCCCAAAGTCTTACTGTTGGAAATTTTCTGAAAATCACCTAGGGCCTTCCTAGCTTCTACATTATGCAGAGTGTATACAGAGAGATTTTTTTCCTTAAAACAGAATTGTGCAATAGAGAACATTTTGTCAAAATAGCCTTCAGTTATTTTGAGGTACTATGCTGGATCTTTTGAGAACTTTTTGGAGATCAGTCGATAAGTCCACAATCCCAGCAATTGTTTCATCTTTGCCACCATCCAGTTCCCTCACCATTGGGAAGAATAGCCAAGGTAGTAATTTTTGTCATGTTAAATGATGAAGGGTACCTTTCTACCTGCTGCTGTTCTTCCAGAACAACCAGGTTCTAGCATTTTTCCATAAAATAAAAACAACTGGGAGAGAAGATGGCCTACATGGCCTCCTTGCTTTTGTTCCCATTATTTTGCATTTCAGTGTGTGTTTATCATGCTGTTGTCAGTGGTTCTGGTTGTATCTATGCCGTTATTGCTTGTGCAAAGAATGGGCTCAGCAGGTTTGTCTCGCAAGTCTTCTTTTTGTGCAATGTAGTTTTGGTTTTGTGCTATGTTGACTTTGGTTTGAAACTGCAATCATTTAATGGATTTTTAATTACTTACATATTTCAAGTAAATACTTTCTTTATTGCAGCAGATACATCTAACTTTCAACTTCATATTAATCTGACTTGTTAGAAGTCATCAACCTGTTATTCTGAATTAGCTAACTACAGTATTTCTGTAGGAAGAGGATGCAGAAGTGGAAGGCATGCAATATAAGACACTACGAACGTTTCATCATGGAATCAGAGTTGATGCCATAGCATGGAGTCCAGAAACTAGACTTGATGCTTTACCTCCCCAGATAAGGTATTTTGAATAAATTACTATAATGAATCCTTGTCTCATATCTGTTTTCTCTAAGTCCTTAATATTGAACTAACTTTAATGCTTACAGCTGAAATATAACTGTGAAGAAATTGCTGTTGGAAGTCTGTGAACACCATTGGAACAACAGTTTCATTCTTAATCATCCTTATATATTTTTTTTCTGCTTCTTGCTTCTCTTTCCTCCCCACAGTGGATTCACAATAGATACTAGATTTTTTAATTTTAGTCAGCCTGCAATCTTAGTTAGTCTTTTTGTTGTATGTATCTGTATAATGTGTATGTATCATTTTAAGAATGATACTAGTATCATGGCCTGCTTTGTAAAATTACACGTGATGTTCTCCATAGTATGGGCTAGATTAGGAGTAAGTCGGATGCTATTTGTGAGACCTGTCAAGCTGCAAGTCTAGAAAAATGGTCAATTATTAAATATGCACTTAACATGAATTCAGATGTTCTCAATTGCTTGTAAGCCTCTTCAAAACTATACTGTTTGCTTACTGCTACATATTTTTACAGTCTTTTCTTTAAAATAAGTTGGAGACTGGTTAATAAATTAATCCCTAGGTAATTTTAAACACTGATGATGAGGGTTCTGTTTTTTCTATCAGCCACTTCCTCCAAGGTAAATTCTGTGGCAGTTATGAGAGATTTCAGGTAATTCATAGTTGATTCAGATTTAGCTTTATAAAATGTTTTGTATTACTTTCCATTAAAAAGTGTTCTTGGCACTTGATACACCATATTTTAGAGGCAAGCTCCAATTATAGCTCAGGAATGCTTGATGCCAAAGCAGAAAAATTAGAATATACGTTTGATTGAAAATCTAAATTTCCTTTTGCATGTCATTTTGCAGGTTTAAAATGGGGTGAAACTCTTGGTTGATCTGGTTTTGTTTGTTGTTTTATTTGTTTATTTAAAAAAAAAAAAAGTCAGCCATTACAGTGCTATCTGACAGAAGGGCTTTTCTTTTTCTGTTGAGTGTAGGTTTTGTACAGCAGCTTCTGATAGGAAGTTAAGGCTATTTACTTCAGACCTGCAGGACAAGAATGAATATAAGGTAAGGGTAACTGAGCTGATTTTGAATATTTCTTTAGTCTCTAGTGGAGTCTAATCTTTCACTGACCTTGTGCCTCACTTTTCTTAATGTACAGTATGATGTAGAACACTAACTCTGGCAGACCCATCATCTCTAGCAAGGATCAGTGTATTGAATATACCTTTCTATCTTTAAAGTGGGCATAACTAATTATCAGCTATATTATATTTTGATTTAAAAGTATTTATGTAACAGCCAAATTGACAAAAAGTAAGTAGAGGTTTATTTGTGGTCTAAAACATGGTCTAAAAATATTCCACAGGTGAATTTGAAGTACTGTGTTGGAAAAGGTTCCTTTACATAGAGACCTGTAAAATATTATGTGGTATTGTTTATTAGACTTGTCTATATGGAGAGCAAATTTAATTATCTGTCTCTTTCCTTGGGGAACAGGAAAGTTGCAATGAAACCATTTCATACAGTAGAAGATTTAAAGAAAGAATACTGTATTTTTTACGTAACTGCAGACAGTTATATAAAACATGGCCATGGGCCAGCACTTGTTTATGTCTAAAATAAAAAGAAAGGGAATGACTCCTTCAAATACATTTTCACTTCCTGTTCTTTCAGTGTAGTGTTCTTTCACCAGTGATGTAAGAGGTGTCGGGTCTGAGATTTCTTTTGTTTGTAAGGCATTCTTGTTCTTTGTAACTCCTATGTCACTTGGGTATG